TCTGACCAGATCTCTCTTTGTGTTTCTTGTCGGAATGGGATGGCACACATTTCATTCTACTTTGATGGATCTTCAAACCTCTACTATTCTTGCAGACTTTCCAACAAAAACATGTATATCTGTTGCCCATATTCGTTGTCGTTTTTATTACTTTGTTCGTATCCTGAGTATATTCTATAGGCTGTTCATCATCCCTTGCTCTCGCACAGCCTCGGAGGTGTCTTAGTATATATCGGCCCATAGCGTGTAATGCGGGTTCCCCTTCACATGAGATGCACTTCTGTCTGCCAAGCCTAATGCCCCATGTGCCAGTATTTGGCTGCCTCCTGTCCAGGTAGCCTCTGTTCTCTTCACAGTCATCAACCATAATTTCCTGCTACTCACTGGGTTTCCAGAAGATGATGCTTCTACAATTACCCAAATCCACCTTTGAACCCAGTAATAGGATTGTATGTCACTCAGATCTATATCCAGATGTTAGACTTAATACAAATGAATTAAAAGCGTACTTTGTAGAGCAAAGTGACTTTTTTGTGGGAATCTGTCACACTCCCCTAAATGCATCATTACACAAAGTTACCAAGTCAGACACGAATTCATTCTAGAAATCACACATAGACTTATCAAATCTTTTGCGTCATGAAATATGAGTTGTGTGACCTTCTTCGTATAACATATGTTATATATTTCTGTCACGTAGTGTTTTAGCGATATTTTTTAACATTGTCATAAAGCGGGAGGTTTGGCATGCCATGAAACCAGGTTCAACCCACCATTTTTTCTGAAAATGTCCTGTACCAAGTCAGGAATATGGCAGTTGTTATCAAATAGTTCGTTTCTATGTGTGTTGGCGTTTGTTTTTGTTGCACTTCGGTGTTCCTGTTGTTCATTTGTTTTCCTCTTATAGTTGATGTGTTTCCCTCGGTTTTGGTTTGTAACCCGGATTTGTTTTATCTCAATCGATTTATGACTTTTGAACACCGGTATACTACTGTTGCCTTAATATGGTCAATCTCTCCATGATTCGACTTCGTATAAAATTATATGGCTGTAGGTTTATCCGTTTCTGAAATCTGGCTATGGTCGGTCAAGTTTAGATACTGCAAGAAACTCCTCGACTTCGTTGGATTGCAGAAAAACTTATTGATTCCTTTTCCACATTTACTGTTCATTTATGCTGAATTTGTCACATATGTTTCTCGCTGTAATGTTTACAAAGGACGAGTTTACACTCATACGGGGACAAGAATCAAGTTACTTATACTTATATAGTTGTGATTTTTGCAGCTTACCATTAATTGTGTTAGAATAAGTTTTAAAGACAAAGTTTTTATTTCATTTAAAGCCTATATTTAAAGCAATATCTATGTGCACAAGCACCAAAAACTGCTGCAGAAAACCATTGGTCACAACGAAATTCAAACTGGATCTGTAACTTCCTATGATATGAAAGAATACCAATTATCAAATCAATTTATTCAGGCATTACAGAAAAAGGTGAGGAAAACTGATATTTACGAGCAATTTTATGTGTTCTAGAGTCACAATGCTCTACCAGGACGAAACTGAAGCTAGATCTATTACTATTACTATCAGTTAATTCAGGCATTAAAGGAAAAAGTGGGGAATATCAATATTTTCAAGGAATTTTATATGTCCAAGGATCACAAATCTAGTAAAAATTGTTCATCCAGAATAAGACTCAAACTGGATATATACCTCTTGTGATAGGAGTGTATTTAATCTATTCATTTAGACATTACAAGAAAAGGGGCAAACATTAATATTTCCAAAGGAATTTTCTTGGTCAAAGGATTACAACTCTTGCCAAAAATGGCTCATACAGAATGAAACTCAAAGTCAATATGAAGCTTCTTGTAATAAGACTATATAATAAATTTCTAAAAACAATTATTAAAGCATTACAGAAAAAGGGATGTCTAATGACCATAATTTCTCAAAAATCACTCAATAGGAACGAAACTCAAACTGGATCTGCAACTTCTTGTGATATGACCTTCTATTTGATAACATATCAATTAAGTATCCATCTGTTTAACATCCAGTGTCAAATTGATTTCCTATTGAGGTAATGGACATGATAATGTAATAAAAATAAACCCTGCTTTGTACTAGACCGACTCACTGACTCAGATGTCTACCTGCTAGTTCATAAGGTAAGAGTTAGCAGGAAAATGTGCCACTCTACCAGGACACATTATTCTGACTCTGAGCTTACCAGTCTTTGCTCTTACTCCTAAATGCTGCATGCTTAGCAGAGAAGCAGCAAATATCAATTTTCAAGTCTTTGGTTTGACCTGGCTTTGGTTTGAACCCACTACCTCCTGCATTCAAGCCAGGGCGGTTGAAAAAGTTTCCGAAAACTGGTATATAACAAAAAGAGCGAAACCTAATAAAGTTTCAACTACAAATGCAATGTAGTTGATAAATTGAAGGTAAACTTAACCCTGAGGCTTTAGAGTATACTACACATTTATGGTTGGCGTCTTTGTTAGAATAATTTGTATGTATGTTTACTCATTTTTGGCTGCTGGATCCAAATTATTGTCACATTAATTTATCATGTCTTGTTTCGGTTGCTCACCCAATTTGTCAATATAACGGAACTATAAACAACTGTCATACAAGTGGGAGGTTTAGCTAGCAATAAAACCAGGTTTTACCCACCATTTTTTTCGGAAAATGCCTGTACAAAGTCAGGAATAAGGCAGTCTTTTTTCACTTGTTCCTTTGACTGATAGCAATTGATTTGTCAGTTTTTATGGACTTACCCTTTTTGAATTTTCATAGGAGTTCGGTATTTTTGTTATATTTTTTTTTCAAGGTGTTATTTAAAGGAACAGATAAAACAAGTTTCTATATCCGTCCTACAACTTCGTTGCAAGGGGATAGAAGAAAGTTGGTATGGTTAGAGACACAGATGTACATAGATATCATCTTTTACATCCCTCACAGGGTTTATAAAAAAATTATAAGTCAGATAGAGAACAACATACAATTCATGAGATAGTAAAATTTATTAAAAGTCATTGATATGTATTGTAGATATCTCATGTAAAAAATCAACTCATCTTTTAGTAGAAAAAAAAATATACAAAATGGTGATGAATACTATATTTGCATTTTAAAACATTATAATATCAATAAAACAGTCATAGATCTGATGGAATGATTTTAATATGATTGATATTTTTGCTAATAAAGGCTTTTTGTGTACATTATTGCTCTATACTTAACTCTGTATTTTTGAATTTTCATTGTAGCTATACGCTGGTATCTGTACAGTAATGTTGTTTTTCTTAGACAATGAACAGAGAACCAGGCCAAGGGTAACTATATCCAGTGGTGATGATAGACAGTGACTAAATCAATGCTATAAAATAGGCTATGATTACATAATGTTCATTTGAGTCTCAAATACAAAAACCTGAGAAATATATTCTGATATGTACAGTGTTATTTACATCAGTAGAAAATTAATTATGCATTTAACCCTTATGCATTTAGACAGTACTGTACATACTGTGTTACAAATCTTAACAATAATTCATACTAAATAATATACCAATAACCCTGTAACATTAAAACAATATTTTCCCAAACAGACATGTTTTCATTTTGCAAACTGCCTAACCATTTTAACAAAAAGGTTGATTAATTGACTGTTGTTTGCCTAATGTCCAGCGGTTATTTCAAACAGGAATCATTTTTATTACGATCATTATTTTTTTTAACTGAGGGATACTTTAACTTTAGTTAAGGCTTCAGTTATAAAACTTATAAAAAAGAAATCTTTTATAAAACAAGAAAGTACACACCTAAGCATAATGCATTATATACATCTGGCCAAACGACATTTTGATTTCAGCTAATAAGAACATTAAATGTAATATTTACCACCAAAAGCAATCATCAATCAATCTGTTTTGTGTTAAAAAAAGGGCAAATATAATTAAAATGCTAATCATACCTCCCTCCTCTTCTTCAACTGATAGTAAATTAATTTTAAGACAGATCTAACAATAAATTTTAGTCATTCCCTTATATATATAGCTAACAATAAATTTCTGCACCAAAATTATTTTAAATCAGATGATCTCAGATCAAAACAATATCTTTTTTTCATTTCCTTATATATATATACAGCAAACAATATATACAGCAAACAATATAATGTATACTACAACTTACTGTACAATGATTATTTAAAGTACAGTCAACTCTAGTTATCTCAAAATTTATCGGACTGACAAAAAATATTTGATATAGCAGAAATATTGAGACATCAGAATTGAAAATATCTCAAATCTATCTTTTGGGGCAGACATATTATAGGAATTTTTTTCAGAAAAAAAAAGTGAGATAATAAGAGTCAACTGTATTAACTTTGTATAAATATGGCACATTTGTAACAAAACAATCAACTTTGACTCCATGACAAGGGAAAAAAAAGTCAGCTGCAACATCAAACCTGGTATAGGTTAATGTTTGTGTAAATGTGGATTCCTTATTATTTGTGGAATTCCAATTATCAAAGGTAAGGATAAACCAAGAATTTAAATGTTCAATGAAGCACAAATTTTTTCTAAATGCTTGTATACACTTTTGCAAAACCATGAAATCAATTATCTATTATATACAATTTTCCAAATTCCACGAAAATTGGTATCCACTAAAAATAAATGAATTTTGATGGTCAATTAAAATGAAATGTATGAAAAGGAATAGACATAAAAATACATGACTGTAAATGGGACAAAAAAGGTAAAACACTGTATTTTAAAATGGACGACTATAAATGGAATGTTTATAGATATATATTCATATTGCTACAGATTTGTAAACAAAATCTGATATTAATAAGTACAACATGAAAAATATATTTTATATACAAAATTTACATAAAAATTGTGTCTTCCATGAGACTTATAAGCTGCTGCAGTTACTGATTCACAGACTCAGTGAAAGACAGATATTAATTATATGAATATGAAATAGGAAAATGAAATGAATAAATCAAATGTATCAAGAAAGAATTTTATAGAGTTTTGTTAAACAAACCATGTTTCTCTGTAGGACAGTTTTATAATTTAGGAATAGGAAAACATAGGTGTTTATTGCAACTGATCTTTGTGTGACAAATCTGCTATGCTAGTAGGTAACACAAATTTAGGTATAAAATATAATGATCATAAAAATTACCATTTCTTGGCCAGGTATTATACAAAATCTCAAAGAGTTTTTGTATTCCTTAAAAATTGTCTCAAAATATTTTTAGTATATAAATTTATAATAAACTGTTTACACAGAGATATGTCTCACCTGTTGGCATAAAATTCAGACCGTGACCTAGGGGGCAGGGCCTTTAAATAGTCATGAAACTGATATGTTCTGATAGTAATGCAACTTTATTTAAATATCAATGATCTATCACAAGTAATTCCTATCAAACTAACTTAAGCAGAAAACTAAACAATTGTTGATGCCGTCGCCACAGCAGTTATTGTCAAAGGAATCCCTTTGTCTCGCTTTCCGCAACTTTCATCGCAGGCAAGACAAAAAACATATATAAAATCATTTTCAATCTGATATTTTGCCCCCTTACATCTAAAAGGTGCATTTAACAAGTTATAATGATGTGAGATTTATAGTTCTTGAAGAATGTTACTTTCTTTCTTGTGCAAAATCCTGAAGAATAAGCAACTTATAATTAGATACTGTCAAATTATACAGTCATACATTTTTGTCTCGTATGATAAATGTTTATCAGAAAAATATGATAATTTTTTAATAATGCATGAAAACCTTGATTAAAATTAGATTTCAACAATGCACAAATAAATCCCATAAACCATGAAACTAAAAACTTAGATCAAATTATTAACAAAAAAGTATATAAAACTGATTAAAATATTGATACTTTCTGTGAAAAGTCATTTTTGAATGCTTAGTTGTAAATATTTCTCCTTTTAACAAGCACAAACTTTTGCAGTCATTTGGAAACAAACTTTAGAAAGCATATGGAAATGTTGTACATAGATTTTACAAAATAATTGTGTTTCCTCAAAAATTCTTTTTATGGTAATAGAGGCATGCAAAATAACATAATAATCATCAAAATTAATTTACAATGAATACTGAAAAATGACTTTGGTAAAATGTAATTGGTACAGTTTTATCAAGATTTTAAAATCAAGATTGTGGAAATATTTACATGATAATATACATCTGATTACATCTACTGTTAATTGTACACACATCTGAGTAACAAAATATATAACATATACAGCACTTTTTAAGTTCACAAACAGGTACTAAACAATTTATACAGTGTTTTATTTTACAAGTTATACTTCTATAAACACTCCCTTATAATTTAGGAAAAAATAAACGAATATTTCCAAATAATGATGATAAATTTCAGCACTGACCTGTATCAAAACAAAAGAATAAAACAAAAATGCTGGTAGCCGACTTACTAAATTGATCAACCAAATAAATTCTTTATCGAACATTAATTTATTTACAATCTAACTATATAAATTGAGCATATGTGATTTTAAATCTTTGAAGAAGCTTGATCTTTATGATGTTTCATTTGAAGTTTTTTTAGTATAGAAAATAGAATTAAACAGAATTATCAAACCAATATTTGCCACCTTAAACTTATTGACTATAGTTCATTTTCATACTAGTGAGGGTGCTATTATGTACAGAAAATCCATAACTTCCAGAAAAAAAATTGCTTATCGAATTGGTATTCCTGTACTTATTATATATATTACTAATCCAAAGAACAACCATACATTGACATGCAGCCTCTAGTAATTATCAAAATAACTGTTGCACTCAAGATGAATCATAAATATTATATTTTCCAGCTTAAAATTGGAATATTTGTGAATACATTTGAGTCTACTGAAAACAGATTACATTCTAAAAATTGCCACCAATGCCTATTAGTAGGGATGCAAAAGTTTCACTTTAAATGCCTATAAACACAATAATTAAGATATTTTACAAAGAAGATATATTATATATTTCAGTATATTATATTTTTTAACTGTACATAATCTCATACACCTACAATTTTCAAATAAAAAGACAGAATCCTCATCTAAAACATAATTAGTAGTCCTTTGGCCTCCTCCTGTAAACTACTATACATAATGAGAGCACTATAACTGATAATAATACAGCTACACCTACTAAGGAGTATGTGGCTATCTGATAATTCTTCTGCTTGTCATCTGTACTCGATGAATCTGTATTCTTTATGACTGAAAAAAAGAATAAGATTTTATTGGAATGATGATGGATGGCTGCATAACGTCCAGTGGCAGATTAAATGCATAATCAGGACAAGAACATGTTAATTAATTATGTTTATTAACCCTGCTTGTACTAGACTGACACGCTGAGCCCGATTTTGAACATCTTAGTTCACAAGGTAACAGTCCACAGGAAGACATATTACCGTACCCAGACACATTATTCTGACTCCGAGCCAACCAGTCTTTGCTCTTACTCCTTAATGCCGTGTGCTAAGTGGAGAAGCAGCAAATACCAATTTTTAAAGTCTTTGGTTTGATCTGCTGTAGGTTCGAACCCATGACCTCCCGCACTTGAAGCAAACATGCTACCACGAGAACACCGAGGCGGTTCGATTTTATTGTACCATATATATAAGATTTCTTGTCATATTATTCATAACCAGTGAACAACGAATACCCACTTTTTCAAGATTCACCAAAACTTTATCTTTATTTATTATCAATGCTGTGCATAGCTGGTCTAACCAAGAAATTTGTCTACATTAGAAAATTTCTAATTTACACCAAATGTTGTCACATGTTGAATGTCTCAAGATCAACCATTTAGAAGAAAATCTGTTATTCATTACCTTACATTGCCATCACAAATGATATCTTATAAATGATTTCTGAACACAAAAATGAATTCCTCATTTCTTAAATTACAGTTAAATTGCTAACTCATCACTGTTAAACTGCTGACCAAATATGAAGTAATTCCTTCCAGTTGTTTTTAAGAAAAGTGTGACAAAAATATTTGTTGGATGAACAGACAGATCAGGTGATTGCAAAATAGTCCCCCTTCCAGAGTACCGTTAAAAGGCTTGTATAGTCCGCGGTTTTATTCTCCAAAATTGAACCTGCCAGCAGGGGTGCGGACTATAGAGTACAATAAGCAAGAAATAAGAGAAAAAAATTCAATTTCGAGAGGTGGTTTATTTTCGTTCTGCCATGTTTGTTATTGATATTGTAGAGGGCGCTCTTATCATTTTTCAAACTAATAATTTTACCTAATCCATATTAATAAGTTATTATTATTCAATATCAAATCAATATTGATAAATTTAAAAATTAAACGCTTCATAACAAATTTCTCTTTCTTTTCAATGCATTGCTTATAAAATAAACTGGTGTCTGCTTGAATGAAACTTACAAAAAAAGTAAAAAGACAACCGTAAACCAGCTTACGATGTGGTAATTACAAAACGTAATCGGTTATTATACGTTCCGTTTTGGTGTTTCATACTGACTAATATGTTATTTATTAGCTTAAAACCCTTCAAACATTAATGTGATAGATATATTTAACACTATTTTACATCAGGATGGAACTGTTTTACTTTCAAAGTCATATTATATTGATATCTAGTATGTACGGATTTCGACTCTCACCGTTTTTTCTCTTCTTTTACACGTGCTTTTCAAACTTCCTGTTTAAACATAAACAAGTTTCTAAATTGTTTTTTGTGTGATTTAGACTTATTTTAACAATTGTGAAGGCTTTTAGAATCATTTACAAGCAGTTTCAGCTTCTGTTTGTTGATGGAAAATAGGTTTTTTTCAAGAAAATACCGCATACGACCACACACGATTGGAAACTACCGGAGTTTCATTAGACCTTCCCAACAGTTACAAAAAGTTTTTACTAAAAATTTTGTGGGGAGAAGGGGGTGCGGACTATGTATCAGTGCGAACTATACAAGGCAGATTATGGTAGGGGTATAATTAAACTCTTTAAGTATCGACTTACAGTTAGGTCTGTTATAAAGCTGTGGAAAATACTTTCTCCAAAAGCCATAATGATTCTGCCTATAGTTAATCAAATTACGAGACTTATTTCCTATCTCTAAATAGCTGTGATTGAAGTTATTATACTGTAACCAGGTAACATTTTTAAAATGTAGAGCTGTATCAAAAGTCTTTGGTGTAGGATTTCTGAAAAAAAATTTAGATAAAGATTAAAACATTAACAAAAATTTATTCTAATGAAGTTAGAAATCAAAGTATTTATCAAAAACTTTAAACAGAAGACATAACAACAAAATATGAATATTTTTTAATAATACATTGCCTGCAAAGTAGTATAAGAATGGTTAATCTTCTTAACTCTCCTGTTTATAAGGGGGGAAAAAGTAGACAAACAAATTGTTAAATGGCAACGTCATAATCATAAAAATATCAGTGAATGTTAACTTGTAATAATATAGGTTGTTTTATCTTAATCTATTTCAAAAGTAGATTTAACATTAATAAAATTCCTTAAAATCTTGAATATATGAATTGTTTAGTATTTTTAAACTAACTATTCATCATAGATAAAGTAAAAATAATGTCCACATCTAATAAAAAAAATCATGTTAATTAATTAGATCTCTATATCAAAGTTTACTACTTTCTGTAATAATTTTTACTGGTAATTCTAAGTCACAATATTTTGACTCTCATACTACCTTAATTAAGTTAACACATTGACAACATCTTACCCTGATGCAGTAAAGTTTGTCCACATACTAATCATATATTCACTGACATTTCTATCCTGATAATCATACTGCTGTCGTGGGTATACTCCAAACAGTTCCTTGTATGTTGTATTTATGTATGGAAATCCAAACATGTACTGTAACTCCTGTCCATGAGCTATACCTGTAATATCATGGAATTTATAATTTGCATAGCAAAGCATTTAATACTTACAATGTGTACAAGATTATTTCATATTCTTCTTGTACAAATTATGTTGCTTCCATAAGTGAGGAAAAGCTATTCAGGGTGATTTAAAGCTTGACAAATATTGTATAGACATCTGTCTATTGTTGAGGACTGTATGTTGATCGCTAGATCTCATCTCATTGACTTGTATCCCAAATCTACTTTTATTCCTCCTTTTTTTTTTATGAAATTCATTATAAAATAAAGATGTAGCAAAAATATTAATGCATTTTGTAATTTCTGAAACGTTTACTGTCCATAAAAAGGAATGTAAAAAATTAGAAGACTGTGATGCTTTACTATATTATATATGGTGATCTTTCTTTCTTCTTACACCTGACAAATGTATGTGTACATTGCATCTGATCTACAGAGTAATTTTCATTCAAGCTTTGCAGTTCCTTTTAAAACACATATAATAATAAAGTTAATAAAATTCGCAACTAAAACTTTGTTATAGATACCTCTCCATGGTGGTAAATAATCATTCCATGAGTAATAGTTGAAGTTATAAACATATGTTTTATTGTGTTTGGCCTGCCCTTTCACCACTTCATCAAGACCTGTACCAAACATGTAGTCTGTCATCATCTAAAATCACAAAATCAATAAAACATTGCATTAAAAAAACAAGTTATCTCCCTTATATAATGAGTCAGCAAACAAAATATGATTAAACATGCAAAATTTACCTCCAATGCGTAGCTCATGATATATAGAAATAAATGGGGAATGTGTCCATGGGACACAGATGATGCCCCCACTTCCATAAAACATTATAAAGAGACATTACTCAAGAACGATAAAAGCGATGTTAACCAAATTTGTACTTGATCTGAGTTTTGTAGTAACAATCATTGTCTATAAGTTTCATAACATTTGGTTGAGGCAAACTAAAGTTAGAGAATGGAACCGAAAAATTCAGCAATTTTTCCATTTGTAAAGGGGCATAACTCTAGAACGGTAAAAGTCATGCCACCAAATTTTCAAGTTTGATCTGAGATTTGTGGTAATAAGCATTGTGTATAAGTTTGAGGCAAACTAAAGTTAGAGAACGGAAACGAAAAATTCAGCAATTTTTCCATTATAAAGGGGCATTACTCTAGAACGGTAAAAGTGACGCCACAAAAATTCATACTTGATCTGTGTTTAGTGGTAATAAGCATTATGGATAAGTTTCATAACATTTGGTTGAGGCAAACTAAAGTTAGAGGACGGAAACGAGAAATTTAGCAATTTTACCAATTGTAAAGGGGCATAACTCTAGAACGGTAAAAGTGATGCCACCAAATTTCAAACTTGATCTGTGTTTTGTGGTAATAAGCATTGTGTATAAGTTTCATAACATTTGGTTGAGGCAAACTAAAGTTAGAGAACGGAAACCAATTTTGGGACGGACGTACGCTATGGCAGGGGCATAAAAAAATGCCTAAAATTTAACAGGAACACAGTAAGCAGTTATAGTAATGCAAGTTTCTTGCCAGTTTTTTTTTCAAACATCATACTGTTGAAAACTCCTCAAGTCCCCATGTTTCATGCAAATACGTAAAAATGCATGTGTCAAGCCTAAAAACTGTTTTCTTTTTAACATGAAAGCACAAATTTGTTTCTTCTGTATGCATAATTTGTTTTTCTAATCTCTTGCATCCTTTTTCTAAACAACATCTCACATCAAGACCATTTAATGCTCATTATGCTGCTCAAAGTTTTAAAACAATCAGGATATTTTTTAGTTCGATATGATTTTGTTATTTTTTAACACACAAGAAACCATGCATACAATTTTGCTTGATAGGAAAGACACTAATTCAGTGTTTCAGCAGTTAAAGCCCAGAATGATCATTCTAAGTTGCATTTCTTTTATACATCATTAAATATATTCATTATTCATATACATAAATATGTTGATATATTACTGGCGTGACATATCCCGGCTAATCATGCAATATGATTGGTTACCTTGACAGGGATATGAGCCCATATACCCTGTGAACAAAAACTAAGATCATAATAATATAAAACATGTACAGGGAATATGAGCCAATATCCCATGTGAAGATCAAGAATAACATATAATATCAAAATTCTTCATCAACAGATATTACTGTGGAGTAATAAATATTCAATGGATACCAATTTCCATGGATTTTGTAGGTATAGGTAAACCACGAATTTAGATGTTCAAAGAAATGCAAATTATCTATAGGCTTGAATTTAGACTTTGGCAAAACCACGAAATCAAAAATCCACGAATATACAATTTTTCCTCAATCAACGAAAATTGGTACACAAAAAAATAAATGAATCCCCAGTATGACAGATCTGCCATCATTAGGGTTCCTACTTACATCCATTAACATCTGTCTGATCATAGACTTATTTCCTGGCTGTGGCCACCATGTATACTCAAACTCTAAAGCATCTTTTGTGTTGAATAAATCTTCCACATTTCTATCAGTCAGGAATTCATTGATAATGTTACTAAATTTATTACTTTCAATTCCTTCTTCTAAATCTCGTACATTAGCTGTAATGATAGATAGTTTTTTAATGTATTCCTTAATTTTAGTAAAAACAAGCTTTCGAAATTTTCATATTCTATACTATTTATCATATTTTGAAATATGTTGTCATCAACTTGGTGTATATCTAAAAAGAATGTTTGCTATATTGCTATAACTCTTATGAAACAACACTAGGTATTTTTAACAATATATTCATATATTCAGACCATGTATTGTCTGTAAACAATTCAGATTTTTTTCTAAATATATAATTGAAATTTATCCATCTCAACTTAATTTTTTGCAAAGCACCATCAATGGTTGTCTCATGTCATATCTTAATGTTTATGTCATTTGCAGAATTTGATGTTGAAAGCAGATCTTTGAAGTCTAGTTTAGATTTATTCACAACTTCTTCTGAGTTGTGGTGATTCAGAGCTAGACATATGTCTACTGTTGAAGACCCTATTGTATAGACATATGTCTACTGTTGAAGACCCTATTGTATAGACATATGTCTACTGTTGAAGACCCTATTGTATACTGAACTCTATAGATGTATTTTTGTTTTTTTTGTGTTGTTTAATTGCTGTCTCATTGATGTATAAGCACATCTCCTTATATTCGTTGAAAGAGTAAAACTTCATGATAACTGAACATCTCTATCAAATTAACATACAAACTGACAACAGCCTACAAATAAACTCACGTATGAAATATGATCCATCATCCTTATTGAGTCCTGCCATAACTTCAAATAATTTGAATCTTTCTTGACTTCTCATTGACCTTGGAGTTTCAGGAAGGAAAGCCCACATGGCTCCCTGTCCAATGTCCACAACAGGTCCCCATGGATTTCCTACTGATGCAGGCTAAAAAAGAGAAAAAAAAACTAATACTATATTCTGATTACTGTGGATTCATTATTATTCGTGTGATACCATTTTTTGTGAATTTACTTGGGTGAAGGTGAACCAATATTTTAAATGATCAACTAAATTCTAATTTTCTATACGCTTTTACTCAAAATCTGGGGAAATCAAAAATCCACAAAAATACCCCAAAAATATATGAATCCACAGTATACCTTTTCCTGTCTAGTAAAATTTTGTTTTGTGCTGTAAAGTCATAATCATGTGGAAGTTTAATTTGAAACAAGTTTATGGAATTCCACACACCTGACTAGAAAAGTAGACTAAAAATTATTGGTTTAGAAGTCATAATGAGAAATGTTAGTTTTCATAACAAATAGTGTTGCCATATAAAAAGTACCCACTTTAAAATCAGCTGATTAATCTAGACCTGTTTACCTTTATTCAGAGTTTTAATCTTGAAAGGCATTATTTATAAATATATACCTTCAGTCTAACCAATGATGAGGCATTTACAATTTCATCAGCTGTTCTAGATACTTGTAGACAGTTAACCAATCTAGACATGTCTCCAGTAGGACAACCTATTTCCATTGCTAGATCTATAGCATAGGACTTTGCATCATCATTAGACTTAATAATGGCCCATTCACTAAGATCAGATCCACTCTGCATGATAGCTCTCACAAATAATCCTGAAATAAAAAAAAACTCTTTAAAATTATTCTGTAAAATATCCAGATAGATATATCATAATGATAAATAAAAACAACTTTAGGTTTTTAATAGTTCTGAGTAGTTAAGAATGAATGCCTGCTGAAATATATGGAACATATCTGTATTTTCTTTGTTTCATACTTGATCATAAATTAGTTTTAGGGAACTGTAAACAGCAGGTCTAACTGCCTTTTATTTCACATCCTTTTAAATCCATAGGTTTTTTGTAAAATTTTACATAGTAATGTTATTTTCTGAAGTTTTTGCAATTAATTTTTGGAATAAAAATCTGTAAAACTAATAAAATATGAACAATATGTATATACTGTTAGATCTTGGAGACAAGAGGTGAAGTCCGACACAAGCTGCTCCTGTACTTTGTCCAGCAATTGTAACTAAATTAGGATTTCCACGAAATGCTTCAATATTCTCTTTAACAAATTCCAATGCTCTTATTTGATCCCACATTCCATAATTTCCCCATGCATCTCTAGAGTTAGTGCTCAGAAATCCTGAAATAAACATTTTTTTTATCATAAATATATCCCACATTCCATAATTTCCCCATGAATCTCTAGAATTAGTTCTTAGAAATCCTGAAATACAATATAATCATAAACATTTGCTAAATGTTCTTTTCTGATAAATTCAAACCAATGATTATAAATTCTTACTTAATAATTTCCCTTTATATAAAAATAGAAATGGGTGTTATGGTTTTGGTAGGGATCATTAAAATGAAATGTTCACTATTCTTGAGCTTAGGTGAGGAAAATATCCCCGTAGGTAAATTCAATCTTATAAGGAAGATTAGAATACGGGACAGGGAAACATGAAAATGAAATCTGGTCTCTAAATTTGAATTAGACATAGAAAATTTGGTGCCTTGTGCTAGCTGCAAATTATTTTATATGGTAATACTTAGTATTGTTTTACTTTTAGCTGTGTATTGGTAATCTGTAACGCCGTTATTATTGTGTTAATTGCATTTCCTTATAATATTTTTTTATAGTGAATTCTTCTCCGTACCTTTTAATTACCATATCACTGGGATAAAAAAAGGACAGGTTGACTTGAGTATTCAGGTTTAACCTTGTCCTAAGTTGATTTGCCTGCCACATGTTAGAGATCATCTCAATGGTTGTGTTTTATATTTTGTGCTTTTTTGAGGAATTTAGTGTTAATGGAAAATTTTAGAAATCAGTTGATTTTTTTTTAGAACTTATGAGGGTCGTAATGGGGGTACCTTCATGACGAATAACGGTAAAAATTCTTGCCAAATGACGTTAACGGTAATTTTGGCGAATGACGATAAAATGCACACTTTCTTTTAGACGATAAACAAATTGACTGATTTTGACGAATCACGCTAAATTTTTTCCAAAAATTACGGTAACGATAATTATTTGAGACCTCTGACGAATCACGTTAAGGATATTTTGATGATTGACGGTAAAATTTTAACCAATTTGACGCTAACGGTAGCCAAAAATGACCGTTTGACGCCTGACGCTAAAGGGCATTCCTACCCTCACTTATCAACACTCGGTCTTGTTTTACAAATGGTTTAGACACTTGTCTAGTGTTAAGGACAACATGTTTATTTGGTATCTTTAAAATGTCTTTTACTGTGTTATTTTATTGTTATCTCATAGATGTTTACCTATATTTCTTTTATTTATATGAATAATTTCCAAAGTCTACTGGGATGTACATGTGTATATTATTAACTGTTAACAATTGAAATGGTAATATCAATGTTCCTGAAGATTTGATAATATTCAGAAATATTTACCAAGTGGTCCAAGCCTATAATTAAATGTGACAACTACTATCTTTCTCTCTGCCAGAAATACTCCCGGATACTGTTGTGATGCTCCAACAACAAACCCACCACCATGTATAAACACCATAACAGGATACAATGTAGGACTGTTACTGGGAATTTCATCTGTATCCTATAAAACATAAACACTTTAGTTCAATTCTTATACAGTAATATGTTCAAGAATAAACAGTATTCATCTATGCAGAAAAGAAGTGGACATATAAAGGGTAAAAAACGTCCTTAAAAAATTGAAATTGTAGCTTGCTTCCATATTAACAGGAAACTATTTTATATATTCATAATCCTTTAAATTTATATGTTTCTGTAAAGTCTTTCAAATATAAGGCTAAGACTATGTACTGTTACTAATATGGTTGAATTTTTTTTCAACTTAATTATGGCTTCAATCAAAACAATATATAGAATTCAATAATTTATTTCAGAATGATTTTGGCTATATATCTATTATAATAGAGATTAAGAAAGCAAAACAACACAAATACACAAATGATTTTTACTTTACATATGTCCCAAAATAAATATCAAAAATAATATTCCCTTTTAGTGTCAAACAAAACAAACTACTAGTTATTTTTATATTAATAAAAATGTGTGTCTGTATTATTTCCTTTTATTAATTTCTATCTTTTTATCTTTTTATAAAGCAAAATTTTACTTACATGAGGTACAAATATGTTCATGTAAAGACAGTCTTCACTGACATTTTGTTTGGAGAACCCTGGGACAGTTTCTTTGACATGCCACATATGTTGCGGGCAGGCAGGTCTGTAATAACTGGCATCCCAAGTCCCTGACCAACTTGGTTTATCTGGTCTCTGTAAAATATATAGTAACCATGGTAACATTAGTATTTTTCTGTGTCTAAACATTATGATGTATTATAATACAATAAACTAGGTTAAGGAACAACTGTTTTAGCAGATTTAAACATACATCATGTATGTCTCCCCATCATCTATATTATGTTTAGAAGTCACTTTGGGAAAGGAAAGGCACAACAAACTCATTTTATTACTGGAAAGGTATTGCCATGGCAAATAAGAATATATAAGCAGGGCTACCCTGGTCACCACCCCTTTCTACAAAACAATACTTTTTCTCTCTACTTATTCCTTTTTTGCAAACCAAACTAAATTTCAATTTGCAGCGTGGTATTTACTGGTATTCACCCCAGAAAAAAATGCACATCAAAATCCAGGAAAAATTTCATTTTTGTGAAACATAAAATGCATTTAACTTTTATTCATCTACAAATGTAGGTCATTATGCCAGAAATGCCTTAAAACTTTTTTCAGTGAACAAAATAAAATGTGTGGTATAAACGTGGCCAAATTTGTCTATTCCAAAATTAGATGAACCTTCAAGGAAAATCAGTGCAGCTAGGTAGGCTAATAAGATGATGGTTATGTGAGTTAATGAGAGTCATGCATACAGTGGGTAAATTTGTTCCCAAATGAAATTTTTGGCATGGAAGTTGTATTTAGTGGAAAGTGAAGTGAGAAACAACTGTTAGTGCTGTTTTCAGTGAAAGAAATTTGTTTCCTGGTCTCTAAGCAAGAAATTCATTTTAGGCTAAGGTGGCAATTTTTTGCTGTTAAAATTTAATCCCTCCAACAGATTTTTTAACTTAGAAAGTCAGTATTTCATGACTTATGAAATAATGTATCAGTACATGTAATAGCACAAAATTTTGTTGATCTAGCAGCTTATTAAGATTATTAATAATTCAGGTTGGTGCATCTAATTAACCTACTATTGGACATTGCATAAAAAGGGGGATCTTCTTTCATATACATGTACTGCCCACATTCAACATGATAAACATTCTGGAAATTTGCACATGATTAAAAACTGGTTAAAAACAATATTGTTGAATTGATTAGTTAGAGGTGTTGGTCACTATAGACTTAAACAATTCAAAAGACTTTGCTGTGGCGATATCTGGAGGCAGTTTGTTCCAGTCCTTGACAATGTTTACGAAGAAGGACCACTTCCTACAATCTTTGATGGCTGGCTGATATATACAAGTATGTATGATTTCCTGTACAACTGGAGTTTCTAGTTGGTTTATGTAGATATTAACCCTTACCATGCGATGGCTGTAATATTACGGCCATACCCAAAATACCATTATTTGGCTCCAATGGCTCTCCATACTTTTAGAGGTCAATTTTATGAAATTATGATGAATTTCGAAGTTAATGCATGTTCCCTCAATCCTACGCTATTTATTATCATGTTTCTTAGGTTTAATGTTCATTTTGAGCTCAAACAAGAACTATGGAAATTGAAATCGGACAAAACTGGGTTTTTTGAAGGGGTGGGCTTCCCTTAGATGTCTGACACACGAAGTTCAGTGGCCTAAAACTTCCCAAAATAGTGTAAACCTGCGCGCATATAACTACTGATTGTGTTTATTATTGAAATACGCATAGGAAACGACTACTTCCGGTTGTAGGTCCAGCTGAAGTAAAAAATCAGAAAAAATCGGTAAATTATGGATTTTTTGTGCAAATGACCTTCTTTAGACTGCTGTACCCAGATCAGTTTCAATCCGACCTAAGAACTGTTGTGGTTAATGTGTTCACTGGGGTCCACTTCACATGCAGACTACAGTTGAATACATCTATCAGCATCTCTCAGGCTTCCAGGTCAAGAAATAGGACGAAAAATCGTCAAAATTGACGCTTTTTGCACCTGATGACCAACTTTGAGGCAAATTCACGCCCGCTGATCCCCACCTCCTTATCCCAACCACCCCTCCCCGTGATCCCCTGTCTTAGCTTTAATGGTATCAATATGCATCAGCATCAGGGTACAGCTAATTTGCATGTAATTTGCATATTTTTGCAAATAAACGAAAATTTAGACATTTTCTGAAAACAATTCAGCATGGTCTTCTAGTACAAATTTTTGATTTTTGTAATATGAGGCAGGTGTTACCGGCAATAGAGGACAAAGTCGGTATTACAAATTTTATTTTTATTGTAATGTATAGTTGTCATTATTCATTATTGGTTATCTGATATACAAATTTGCGCTGGAAATGGTATGACTTACAACATGGCAGCAGCTGTCAACAGAACAGGAACAGGGCAATGCGCACGCGCAACTGTTAGGAAAAAAGTTAACAATTTTGAGTTCATTATTACTTGATTTTCTTACTATCATTTGGGACTTAGTCCCCATAAAATCATTTCTAAAAACGTATATAACATTCAAAAGATGAAGTATTTATCCTCAGACCTGATTTTATCCCGAACACAACGAAATATGATGACCCTTAATCAAATCACTTACATTGAAACGGAACTCTCTACGCCAGTCTAGATATTGTGTTAGTCTTTTCGCATATGGGACACCAAGGAATACATTAATTCTTCTGTTATCATATCTTGAATAGTGAGAGGGAATGCTGAAACCTCTCACTGAGCCATGGCGAGTACTGACTAAGACCTGATTCTCATGAGAAAATTTTACTAAACAGCACATAAGGATACATATCATGGGCAAAACAGCCCCACGATATCGTATCATTTTGCATTTAACTGTTTTACACCTTCGTTTACATTCCAAAACAGGAAGTCATCATCACGTGACACAGGTGTAAATATAAGGGGGAGGCAATCTCATATTTATATTTTTATCTCGCCCCTCGGCCTGTCCGTGCCCGTTAACTTGTACATAATATATTCCCCTATGAAACTACTGTTCCTTTAGGGACCAAACTTAGCAACAGTCATCATTCAAAAATATAATCCTTCCTGCAGATCAGATCAACATGGCCACATGCCTTAAAACTATAGAAAAAAAATAGAAGAAAATTCAAATGTTGATTAATCATTATCTTGAAAACAGTTATAGATAAGAAAATCTGGGGGAATAAAATGATCTTCCTACTGTCCAATTTGAACAAAAGTGCCATGTGACACCTTACGTAGGAGTTGTTATCCTTATTTGACGATTTTTGTTCACCATTCTTTTGCATTTTTGTTTCTATTATTTTTGACAATTATAACAATTAAAAGAGAGAAACAGAAAAAATATCAGCAAGACAACTACAAATACGTCAGTAATTTAATTTTTAACATGGCCAAAGTCTGTCCCCAGCTCTGCATATAAGAGTTATTGCCCTTCAATGACGAGTTTAATTAACCCATCATGGATTGGTTGCTCAGTTTAACTACTGAATCTTGTTAACTATAATATATCATGTAGATAGAGAGAAACGTGAAACAGCAAACACCATCAGCTGTACAAAATCTACAAAAATTGAATGGACAAACAATTAAATCGTCCTATAACAAGGGACGAGTTTTATCTATTTTTGTGTTTTTGGCTATATTATTGAAAACTTTAACATGTTTAACAGACTGACAGTAAACATTATCAGCTGACAAGATCTACAAATTATTCAACGTGACTGAAGTCCTCATTCGACCCCTTATGAGTTGCTGACTTTGAATAATGATTTTTGACCAACGTTAGAGTGTTTTCCTAATATCTTGAAACTTTGAACAGCAAACATACTAATAACTCAATTTGACTCATTACAGGAGTTGCGACACATAATCACAATATCATTTTTGCATTTTCTTGCCTATTTCTAGTACTTGAAAACCACAATGGATACCCAAAAATAATCAGCAATAAAATGGGTCGAAATTATTGTGAGTCAAAAACACCAAATTCTGTGAAATTGAAAATTTTCCGATTAATTTTGATTTTCGACATCTCAGAACACACATTTTACACCCCTCCCCCTACACACACACACACATTGCAATTTTTGTGAAGACTAAAGTCGTGTGTATATTTTTACTTGAAAACAACGAAAATGGCTTTGAATTTTCAATTTCTTAATCGAACTCTTGTCTAATGGCTAATTTGAAATTGACTTATCTCTGACTTTTGTGATTGAACCCCCCCGTGCCATTATTTTAATGAAAATTTCTCTGTAAACTCTGCATAGAATTCATATGATAGATTTCTGATAAATTAGTAGCAAAAACGAGATAAAATTATCGTGAAACTACTATAATTATATATGGTAAGATGTGGTGCGTTTTTGTTGTGGTTATGTATAGTTTTAATCAAGTATCCGTTTTACATTTTCTCAATGCTGTGCAAAAATGACAGATGAGCAGGTTCCTTGTAGCCTATAGTTCTACAATAAGCTTTATTTAGAGGTGTGATATTATACATTCAACCGCAATTTGAAATATTAATTAGGCTTAGCTTACTTATTCATTCCAGCGCTAAGGAAGATGTTATAAAATCTAAAGCAAGGAATGTTCTTTCCTCTGTACAAAATGTAAATGAAAACACACCTAGACTACTGTTGAAGCAAGTTTGCATTGTACCATACAAGAACAATCTCAATAATATAAAGTAAAAACTGTACATATGATGACATAGGCGGATCCAGGGGGGGCCTGGGGGGGGGGGGGGGCCGCCCCCCCCCCCCTTTGTGGCAAAAATTTGGTTGATTATATAGGGAATCACTGAAGCATGACTGGAGCGGCCCCCCCTTAGGTCAGTCAGCGCCCCCCCCCCCCCTTTATGAAAAGTTCTGGATCCGCCACTGGATGACAAAGAAACTGCTACCAGTCATCAAAGGTCTTGGATACCATCGTATAATATAAAGATCAATAAAAGGAAACAGATTCAAAACCGTGAAATTCATTAACGGTTAATATAATAAATACTATTATTTCTTATGCAACATAAATACTGCAATCTGATTGGTTAATTACCCCGGTGTAAATAACACCCCATCCTTGTTCACCCCGGGATAAATAAATTTTGTCAAAAAATTTAAAATAATAAAATTTTGCCAAAATGAAGAAAAAAAATAAAAAGTCAAAAAAAAAAAAAATAAAAAATAAAAAATGAATAAATTTGAGGACAAAAATTTGTAAAAAAAATTTAAACATTTTTTTTAATTTTTTTTTCCTGAAAATTCGAAAGAACACAAAAAATTTTGAATTTCCCAAAAATAAAGAAAAAAAGTATTTAACAGTGCGCAGCAACATCGACGTTGAAAAAATGTTACACTGGAAATTTTTCATTAGCATTTTTCAATTTTACATCCCGGTTTAAAATTGGGTAAAGGAATTGTTCATAAGAAATAAATTCGTTATCTTGGTGTAATCAGGGGTGTACGGAATTTTACACCGTTGTTGAAAATTCATACACCCATTCGGCTGCCGCGGCCTCAGGGTGTATGAATTTTCAACAACGGTGTAAAATTCTGTACACCCCTGATTACACCAAGATAACTAATATTGTACAGAATAATGCAAGCTCTTCGTAAAACAAACAATCATCCCAACTTTGTAATAAAACTAACAATTTAAGGTTAATACACCAAAGATCAAAACCAACACTCTTAAAAACTCTTAAATGCAATCAGAATAGCCTAATTATGTATAGAACAAATTGACGACAAAATACTTAAAATCCCGCCCATAAATGCTTTATAAAATATAACAAGAGTGCACACGCTGAAATGTCTCGCCTTCTTTACTTATCATTGATATTATGTTGATAGTCCTAAATATAAAGCTTTATTACAACTGTCACATAAACTTAACATTAACCAAGTAAACTAAACATTGACCAATAAACCATGAAAATGAGGTCAAGGTCAGATGAACCATGCTAGACAGGCATGTACAGCTAACAATTATTTCATATAACAAATATAGTTGACCTATTGCTTATAGTTTAAGAAAAACAGATCAAAACACAAAAACTTAAAACTGAGCAATGAACCTTGAAAATGAGGTCAAGGTCAAATAAAACTTGCGTGACTGACATATAGATCATAAAATATTTCCGTATACCAAATATAGTTGAGCTATTGCATATAGTATAAGAAAAAAAGACCAAAACTCAAAAACTTAACTTTGACAACTGAACCATGAAAATGAGGTCAAGGTCAGATGACACCTGCCAGCTAGACATGTACACCTTACAATCATTCCATACACCAAATATAGTAGACCTATTGCATACAGTATAAGAAAAACAGACCAAAACACAAAAACTTGACTATAACCACTGAACCATGAAAATGAGGTCAAGGTCAGATGACACCTGCCAGTTGGACATGTACACCTTACAGTCCTTCCATACACCGAATATACTAGACCTATTGCTTATAGTATCTGAAATATGGACTTGACCACCAAAACTTAACCTTGTTCACTGATCCATGAAATGAGGTCGAGGTCAAGTGAAAACTGTCTGACGGGCATGAGGACCTTGCAAGGTACGCACATATCAAATATAGTTATCCTATTACTTATAATAAGAGAGAATTTAACATTACAAAAAATCTTAACTTTTTTTCAAGTAGTCACTGAACCATGAAAATGAGGTCAAGGACATTGGACATGTGACTGACGGAAACTTCATAACATGAGGCATCCATATACAAAGTATGAAGCAACCAGATCTTCCACCTTCTAAAATATAAAGCTTTTAAGAAGTTAGCTAACACCGCCGCCGCCGCCGCCAGATCACTATCCCTATGTCGAGCTTTCTGCGACAAAAGTCGCAGGCTCGACAAAAACCCAAATATTTGAAAAGTGAAGATATATAAGAATAAAAATATATAGCGGGAAACTACAACCAGTCTAAGAATTGATATATATGAGTTTGGTGAAGAGTAACCCGCGGAATCCTGTGAATAATATACACTTATATTTACTGGCTATGAGGACAGTAGCAAGTTTATTGTCTCCCTGGACACCAGCTCGTTCCTGACTTATAGGCCACTAGGAAAGTATCGACGGCCAGTGGTAGTAAATCAAAATCAATCATACGATTATGCTGCGTTTGAGGCACCTTTCTAAATAATTATTTAAAAGGAACGCTCTGAACCAAAGTCAGGAAAACCAAACATGAAAATAAATAAATATACAAGGGGGACTAAATGAGACGAAAGGTTATAAAAAGAGTAGTTATAACCAACTACGATTAATTCACATGAGCCGGTTGGAACTTAAGTTTTTATTGAAATTATTAAAAAGTCAAATGAAAATTAACTAAAGAAAACGTATAAACGTTTAACATGTTTGTATCGGTGCGCCGAAATGCGGAATATCAAGTTGGTCTATGTCTATAAATTGAAAATCTGTCAAGCTTGTATCTCCGTTATCGACGTTCATACCGTAACTGTATTATTAACCGAATTTAGATATTCGGTGTACTAGTCGAACAAAACATGCTATTCAAAAGGTTAAAGACAATGACAGATAAATTATAGTATTGTTACCTCTTCGATGTGGTATTTCTTTAAATATTGAACTCCATTTATTTGAATACCGTCAATTTAAAATTAGAGATAACATCCTTACCCGAATAAACTTCAATGGAGGATTATTTTGTGACATTAAATGAACTATGGTATTCATCATTTTAGGTACTGTAAATTGAACGTAAGTAATAACGAAAATTGTGTTTTGAGAATTCTTTTATTTTGATACATTATAATCTCCTTGTTATTATGAATATAACAGCTAGAAGACAGCAACACATCTAAACGAGTTGATAAAAAGGGCATCTACAGGTTACCATACGATGAAGATGGACAAACACAAACGCCGTAAGATACGGCCTAAATCGCACCGAGTCTTGAGTTGTAAATACGATGAATATCTGACAACAGCATCAAATTCTCGCTGGATGAAAATATAACAAGTGGCAAGTTAAGGCTTATCTGACACATCAACAAGTCGCGAGATAAAGTTAGACTAACACATCAACAATTGGCGAGGTAAGCCAAAACTGACAAATCTACAAGTTGCGAGGTAAACTGAACTGACACATCAAGAAGTGATGAGTTAAGACTGGTCCACAAACAAAAAGGGAAGGTAAGAGTAGACTGCACATTAACAAGTGACGAGTTAAGTCTAGGCTGACACATCAACAAATGAAATTGAAAAACTGACACATTAACAAATGAGAAGTGACATATCGACAAGTCATGAGGTATGACTAAACTGACTCACCAACAAGTGGAGAGGTAAGACTAGACTGGCACATCAACAAGTTGGTTGGTAAGATTGACAGATCAACTATTGACGAGTTTATACTAAATTGACACATTTACAACTGTCGAGGTAATACTAGATTGACACATCAACAAGTGGCAAGGTAAGACTAGACTGACAAATCAACAAGTGACGAGGTATGACTAGACTGACACATCAACAAATGACGAGGTATGACTAGACTGACACATCAACAAATGACGAGGTATGACTAGACTGACATACAAACGACTGATATATCAACAAATTGACGAGGTAAAAATCCAACAGGAGCCTCGTTCACAAGTATACTTCCGCTTGATGGCGATATTGTTTATATTTTTTTTTTTATTTAAGCTTTAATATAGCCATACATCATTCTTAATGAAAACATACATTATATATTTATAAAAAGAATGTTGGAGTAACGTCGATGCAACAAGACACAACACGTACGAGATTACAAAAATAGACAGATGTTGATTTTTAAAGTATGAGACCTCCAGTTGGACATACATTTTGAATTACTTAATCATTTAATTAAGTTTAAAAGATAATTATGTCAAAAGTATAAGATTGCCTTTGTCTTTGCGTACCCTGATCTAAGTTATATACACAAAAAGACCATTTACTCGCCATTGTGTTTTTGACAATGTTTGATTTTAATAAAGATAACAAGTTAAATGATGTCAAATATATTTCTGTCATGTCTGTGTAGGAGAATTTTCTCATGCCTTTTAAAAAACCTTGATGGAATGGATTTATTCAAAAATCGGTAAGACATTGAATGACTTCCCCATGATGACTGAAGCAAGCAAATGGCTCTTTTATGTCGGGTATAAAACTAATTTCAATACTAAGTACATCTATCAATTAACTGCTGAACTTAAACTCATTAATTTGTCTTATAAACTACTCTCTTCTGCAACTTTAATGATTGTACATTGAGGTGCATGATTAATGTTAAAAGTAATTTACAAAAAATGACGATACTTTATAAGCAAACAAGACAGGAGATGATATCAAACTAACAACCGCTGTATGTGCAGGTTTATTTACTTTCATTTAAATTTATTAGTTTTGTTTTTTTAGGAAATTACATCATGAACACATAGCTTCCAAGGATTAATGTGATGGGCGTGTAGATAATCTTACGCCATAAAATTATATCAAACAGAACAAAACACAGAATTGTTCAAATACCCGAAAGTCATCAAAATGAGTAAAATAATGAAAAATCACAATTTGCAGACTAGAAAAAGAGGTGTGATGAAAGATATTGAAGACTGGATAAATGAAAAACACAAACGTGAAGGAGAGAGTGATTTTGATGACTTTATGAATCGTAGTAGTCATAAGGATTCTAGAATGTCGGGAATACTCCCAGAGAATGTTACAGAGGAACGGTTGCTCAGATCCAGACTATTTGAACTCGGAAATGAACGTTATAAATTTCTTGCACGATTTACATTTGAAAAACAGCAGTTTCAGGATAAGAAAGTCAAGCGAATCAATGCAATGAAAGCACGAGTTATGTCAGCGTCGTCTGCTCCAGGTCGTCTTGGAACATCCGTGTCACGACAGTCGATGATGTCAGAGAAAGGTGACATGAGATTACGTCGCTTTAATGGTGAAGAATTTTTTGATATAGGAGAAAGAGACCTTCCTTCACGCGCAAGAACTGTACATTTTATGCCGTCACAATCAAGAAAACCAGAATGTCGCGTTCTGAAAGCATCAACGCCCATGGGTTATCATACAGGATCAAAACTAACTAAGACAAATAAGTTCAGTAAATTTGGTGGCGCTATACCAGGACTAACTAACGATCCAAGGTATTCTTTTTTGGAAAAGTCATTGTCGCCGGCGTATGTTGAAGGTAAAAACAAAAAATCTGTTCGTGAAATTGTCAAAAGTATCGAGTCTTTACACAAGCTCCCAGGTAATGGAATCAGAAAAGTAGATATGGGTGCGAAAATTCAGACTTTTGTGAAGGAATGCAAACTTTCGTTTTCAGGTGTTGTGAAGCAACAAATGATAGCTCGGCGTTTAACAAAGAAATCTTCTGAAATAACTGTAAAATAAAAAGATTCATATTTAAAGTGAGGTCATATTAGTTCTAATAAAGGCAACTTTGTCCATGAATTCTTGAATTATATGCTAATGAAGAGACAGTTGGTTTTCTCGATTTCCTTACCAGATATCCTCTTTTAATATATTTCAGTATGTTGGTTGAGTGATAAAAGAAGAATGGAAACAAAATGGCAAAGACAACAAACAATAGCAACGTAGAGATGGTTAAATGCTTAATATGAAACACTTTAATAGTGATATAATGTCCTCTAGGAAAGTAACCTAGCCATCTGCATGGTTTTAAGACTTTCGATAAGAGACTGACGTAAACCATCGATGAGAGTTCGCCAATCAGAAAGGCCGTCTGTTATCATAATCCTTTCAAAGTCGTTCACCAGTAATAAAAATAAATGTTAAACGTCTTTGCAAAGAAAAACTTGAAAAATATGTTAGAGCTTTTACTTTTGTTTCCACGGTTTAAGATGTATATTCTAGTAGTCATAGGTTCTTGAATTGATAGCCCAATTTTTTGTATGCAATACGTAGTACTAAAAAAGTGTATTCAAATGCAACAACGATGAGTACAGGACAAGAAGAAATGCTAGAAAATAAAAAAAAAAACAGTCATATTCTTCCCAGTATCAATGTGACTTCTTACTCTGCAAGAAAACGTAAAACATATTTTTTTCTGCGGTGTGTTCTGCATGTTTTCTGTGATGTATTTCACATCGGTCTGTTGTTATAATAGTATAGCAAAACTGATGTCAGCGTTTGAATACCTGGCATTTATGATCATTTGTACACTAAAAATAAGGTATGTCTTTTCTTTTATTGCTGGAAATAAATCGTCTAATTTTTACCAATTTCTTTCAATGTCTATCCAAAAATAAGTGTCCATTGTTGACTCTTGTTGTATTTATGTGGACAGTATCAAAAAAAGTTCTTGAGTTTGTTTATTTTACAATCTTTTCAAAGAATGAAAACAAAATTAATAGTAAAAAATTAAAAAGGTTTTAATTTATGAAACAAAATGCATTTTACTTTTATAAAACTAGTTCCAGTTATACCTTGAAACTTTTCGTCATAACCCTTTGGCAAAAATAGTCGTTGTTACACCATAACATTTATTCTGAGTAGAGACAAGATGTCCAACTGGATTTTTTTAAATTTTCTAATTCGTTTTTTTTTCAACTGAAGAATATAGTAAAATTAACAAACACCTGAATTTCGTTTGATACTGTCTACTGTCCACTCAGCTACTATAGTACGCTGTTTAATTCACAATTTAATTGCCATGTCATTTTTTACTCTGGTAGATAGTTGTTTCGTTATAAATCAGTTCTTAATAACTCTCGTCAAAAGTCAAAGTCACAACAGCAGTCCTGAAATTTGGCCACATCTTTGATTTTCAATAATTTGACATGAATTGTCAGGAAGCTTTACAATCTTTTTCACCATGACCCCCCCCCCCCCAAAAAAAAAAAAAAAAACAAAAAAAAACCAAAAAACCAACAGTATCTACTACAAATAAAAAAAAAGAGGCCCCAAAGAGCACAAATCGCCCAAACCTGTCAAACACTGAAATAATCGGGGGGAAAATGGAAAATTAGTCAAAAATTAACGAATGATTTAAAGGCAGTAACTACTATAAGAAGTCATTAAATGGTTTTGGCCATATGACAATTTTGTAGATCTTGTATAGCAATGTATAGCTGATCATTCTGCTGTTTACATTTCCTACCTATCTATTATATTTTCAAGATAATAGGCAAAAACACGGAAATCATTAAATAAATCGTAATTTAATGGCAATAACTTTAATAACACATCAATCAATTGTTTTGGTCATACGGCGTTTTCGTAGTTCTTGTATAGTTGATCATTTTTGCTGTTCAGTTTCCACCTATCTATAATAGTTTTCAAGGTAAGAAGCAAAAACTCGAAAAGTTGTCATTTTAGGGCAATAACTCCTATAAGGAGTCTTCAAATGATGTTTGTATGACAAGCCGTTTTACTATTTATTCTTACTTCAAGATATCTAATAAACTTTATAAGATATCTCATATAGTTTATAAGATATCTTATATAGTTTATAAGATATCTTATATAGTTTATAAGATATCTTATATAGTTTATAAGATATCTCATATAATTTATATTTTTAAGATATCTCATATAATTTTCTTTATAAGATATCTTATAAATTATATGAGATATCTTATAAACTATATGAGAACTTTTATACAGTATATAAGAAATCTTATATAAAAAATATTTATAAGATATCTTATAAACATTAGAAGATATCTTATAAAGTATATAAGATATCTTCTAAAGTCTTTTAAAGTATATAAGATGTCATATAAAGTTTATAACATATCTTATAAAAATAAATTATATAAGATATCTTATATATTATATGAGATCTTATATATTATATGCGATATCTAGAATTTGGAATAAAAAGTAGAACAGCCTGCCATATGTTTGGCATATTGATCTGTTTGTAGATCTTGCATTGCAGATCATTTTGCTGTTTACAGTTCAATTATCAATAAGGTTTCTAGAAACTCAAAATTAGTAAAAAATAATCATCATTTAAGGGCAATAACTCCTATAAGGAGTCATCCCAGGTATATTAGCATTTTGTATATCATTTTTGCTGTTTGCGGTTTCTAACTATCTATGATAATTTTCATGATGATAGGCAAAAACTAAAACAATTGTCAAAAATCATCATTCAAGGGCAATAACTCATATATGGAGTCATCCCATGGTTTCTGTCGTATATGCATTTTTGTAGATCGTGTACTGCTGATAATTTTTGCTTTTAATAGTTTCTAACTATCTATTATAATTTTCAAGATAAAACTAGAGGCAAAAACTTGAAAATTAGTAAAAAAATCGTCATTTAATGGCAATAATTATCGTAAAGAGTGCGATAATTTTTGTTCCAATAGAAAGGGATAACCCTTGACATTCTGTACTTGCCCTGTCACATTTTTCTTTCTTTTAAGATGTCAAGATATTAGCTTGAGAAAAAAGTGTACTTCTTCTGATTGATGGAAAGATCGGAAGAGTTGTGAGAGTCTATTAATGATTTCAGCAAAATTTGACTTATTTGTAGACCGTGTCTGGCTAGTCACTTTTGTCTTTCTTTTATAGTTTTCAAGATAATAGGCAAAACTCCAAAATTGATAAAAATCATTAAAGAGTGAGAACTCCATTGAGTTGACTGATGATTTTGGTCATGTTGACTTACTTGTAGATCTTGTCTTGCTGATCATTTTTACTATTTAAAACTATTATCTATTATAGTTTTCAAGATAATAGGCATAAACCCTGAAAATTGGTAAAAAATCTTCAGTAAAGTGCAATAACTCCAATAAGGAGTCATCTGACGAATTTGGTTTTGTTGACTAATTTTTAGACCTTGTCTTGCTGATCAGTTTTGTCTATCTTTTATAGTGTTCAAGATAATAGGCAATAAACTGTTAACACAGAGATATATTTCGCCTATTTGTTATTTTGATAATGCAAATGTTGAAATTAAAATAGCAACACTTAAACATGTAAGTTATGCAAACATTCAAAGTCAGTGAACCATGACCGAAGGTACAGGGCTAAACCTAAACACAAACATAATCTTGTAAAATGTGTAAAAATTTCAAGTCAATGAACCATAATGAGGGGGTGGGGTTATATGATTTCCACGGAAATGAAACTTGCAAATGCTAATACATTTGCATACCAAATATCATTGACTTAACATTAGTGGTTCATCTTAAACTGACCTAATCACAAACTAATACATGTAAACTAAGCAAAAGTTTCAAAGTCAATAGACCATGATTGAGGGGGCGGGGCCAAATAATCTCCATGGTAATTAGATGTGCCAATGCTTCTACAACTGCATACCAAATATCATTGACCTACCACTAGTGGTTCCCCATATAAAACTGACCTAATCACAAACTAATACATGTAAACTAAGCAAAGTTTCAAAGCCAATAGACCATGACTGAGAGGGTGGGGCCAAATAATCTCCATGTCAATATGATGTGCCAATGCTTATACAACTGCATACCAAATATCATTGAGCTACCACTAGTGGTTTACCATAAACTAGACCTAATCACAAACTAATACATTGTTGACGCCGCCACCGGAAACAGCATACCTATTTCTCGCTTTTTGACTCTGTCAAGGCGTGACAAAAACCCCCAAAACTGTTATTATAGAGCAAGAACTCCATTAAGGACTTAACTGGCAATTTTTTCCATGCTTGACTTTGTAGATCTTGACCTGCTGATAATTTTTGCTATTTAAAGTGTCTACCTATCTTTTAGTTTTCAAGATAATAGGCAAAACCCCAAAATTGTCACTAAAGAGCAACAAGAGTGCACACGCTGAAATGTCTCACCTTCTTTACTAACCATTGATTTTATGTTGATAGTCCTAAATATAAAGCTTTACTACAAGTAACACATAAACTTAATATGATCCAAGAAAATGAGGTCAAGGTCAGATAAACCAAACGAAAAATACATGTACACCTTACAATCATTCAATAAACCAAACATAGTTGACCTATTGCTTATAGTTTCTAAGAAACAGTCTTAATCAAGAAAACTGAACATTGACCAATGAACCATGAAAATGAGGTCAAGGTCAGATGAACCATGCCAGACAGAAATGTACACCTTACAATCAATTTTGCAGAAAAGTTTTTCTTAACCTTGGTTTCATTCATTTATCAATGTATCAAAAGATATCATGATATATCTTTACAATGTATCAAAAGATATCATGATATATCTGTACAATGTATCAACAGATATCATGGTATATCTGTACAATGTATCAAAAGATATCATGATATATCTGTACAATGTATCAAAAGATATCATGATATATCTGTACAATTACTGATTAATATTGTTTCTGTCATGTGTATGCTTTAATATGTATCATAACGGATAGATATGTTCATAATTGTGAAAATGGCAAATAAAAACAGATAAAAAAAATTTTTTTATTAAAACTATTTGGATGCTTTTCAAAAATTATCCGAACAATCGCGTTTCAAAATACTTTTTTCTTAAGTTTTTTAAAATTATAATCGAAATAAACATTACAAGTGTTTTACCATGGCCAAGGATCAAGAGGTAAAATTGAACGAAATTGAATGACCAATGTTATATCGAGCTTTCTTCAATTTGTAGCCGATTTATGTACCACTCGTTGCAGTAGTTGTAATGGTAGTATCTATATTTTGCTAATTACATATTCATTTTTCTCTAATTTTCATACTATTTTCACATTTATGCATTAAATATAGTTGACCTATTGCTTATAGTATCTAAGAAACAAACTTAACCATGAAAACTTAACATTGACCAATGAACCATGAAAATGAGGTCAAGGTCAGATGATACCTGCCAGACAGACATATACACCTTACAATCCTTCCATACAACAAATATAGTTGATCTATTGCTTATAGTTGAAGAAAAACAGACCAAAACACAAAAACTTAAGGCTTGAAACAGCTCTGAATTTGGATTGTGAATAAATATTTGACACAGCATAGGCTTCTGTCACAGATTGAATGTAGTCAAAGAACTGAAAAATTTGAAATTGGATTTTACCTTTTATGGTCCAATATCCAAAATCTAAATACATGGTTAGATTCAGCATATTCAAGTACAACAAGAATTTAATTTATTTATTTATTAATGGACCATAATATCCAAGTACTGGTACACCAAGAATTTAATTTATTTATTTATCAATGGACAATATTAGCTAAGTTTTTAAAGGGGTTCCCTTCATAAAAAATAAAATAAATATATATAT